AGGTCGATCAAACAGTGACGTAAACGACGTCGAAACTCACATTTTAACTTGTATCCTGGTATCTAATGAAGAACTGTACACGTAGAAAAACTTATCGCTCGTACTCTCCATCATGATGATATCAATTAATCAAGCACTTGAACGCGAATTTGCTTTTCCATTACTGTACATTACATTTACAATATTGACGCAATTTATGTTGGCATAAACACAAATATGTAAATACACAAGCGTAGATAATGCGTATGCTATTCATCGAAGAAATCGCAGGACAATCTATCGAAATTTGTGCCAAGATATTGTACGAAAAGCTACTGATTGTTGATATCATACAGAAAATTGCATCAGAATAAATTATTTTCGACGATACAATCTATAAGGAAGCCGCACACAATCGAACAATTATTTCAACTGGTAGAATTGTCTACAGCAAAATTTCCAACTATATAATTCGTTCGTAATCTGATCTTTCCACGATATATAAACACAATGGAGAATTACTCTCTATATCAACAAAAATATTACAAATATTACAAGCTAATTAATTAATTAATCCAAACAATCAAGTCTGTCGAAAGCAGACCATTCCAAGTTCCAAGCCTGCTATCAACTGTTGTCAGCAAAAAGCAAAAAGGCTAAAGATATCGACGAAATATTATTAAAGAAAAGAGACCGCTCTGGCCCTGGGTATAAATTTTCGTGATCGTAACTATACCAAGTGGGCCCGGTAGGCTCGAAGATAATAGAAGATTGATGACATTACCGGCCGTTTGACTGTAATTCATACGGTTATATTTTATTTATTAGTTCATCCAATTATTTTATTATCGAAAATGTATAGTTATATATCGAATATCGGATGCAATCAGATGCAATGTGATTTTCCAGATAAAATCAGCTGTTTTGCGATGTTGCCAATTTCCTGCATCACCAATAATTTCTCTGCCACAATAATCATGCTGTGATAAGGTATATATTTCATCAAATAATTCTATTATTAGAAAATAAGCACTCCATAACTGAGTGGTTCGTGAAAGAAGCTGAGTGATGTATTTTGAAAACGTAATGAGAATTTTTACTATCTAAAATATATTACATATATATTATAATATAAGTTAATTGGAATTTGGTCAGAGAGCGGTCCTAAATAATCGGTATTGTTTATTAAGTGTTGTTTAATATACATGTGAAATTCTAAGATTTTGACGAAGACATTCATTAAATCCAAATCTTGCTTTAAGATGTAGAAAAGTATCGAACAAGTTTCATCGAAAATTGAAGTATGAACAAATTTCTTTCGATGCTAATTTATTCTATTGTAATATATATGTAACATGCCTTGGCATGCTTTGGCGTTCGACAACCCCGAGTAAAATAGTTACCCCACGACCGTTCAGAAATTAACCTGCATCGGCTTGCACTTGCTGCGCGGCAAGAAGCGACGCGGTAGCCAATCAATCTTTCGCTCTTATGGGAAAGTTGTAAATTGATTGGCTACCGCGTCGCCTTTAGCCGCGCGGCAAGCGCTGCCGCGTCCTGTGTGCAGGAGTTACCAATCGTACGTCGTACTCTATCAAATAGATTGTTCGTGCTTTGTGGACCTTCGTTTTCTCCGTTTAATGAATGTGCTTTTCGTACTCTTTCGGAAGACATACAATCAGTGTTCCTCGCTCTCTTTCTTCGGAAAATCGCGGTTGTATACGCGCCGATAATTGTAAGAAAGATCACAATAACAAGAGAAAAAAACTATAAAATACGATGTTTGGACCGGGAGCAGCGCCAATTGTGGTTCTGAGTAAGTTAAAGGTTACCTTCTTCACAAGTATCGTCGATCTGAGATCTAGAGGCACGCATGCGTCAAAAAATCCCACGATCTGAAATTACTCGACCGTCCTTTTTTTGAATTTGTTATTTGGCGATTCGCGTATGTTATAAATAAAATAAATCGTTCCTCTGATCATGTCAAATATTCTGGTTATTGCAGGCCAGAACACGAAGCGGGATAGTGGCAGAAAAGTGCAGAGGGAGAACATTCAGGCGGGTAAGGTGAGCGTTTAACTTGTGAGTCAAGTATCGCCTTATAAGGTATTCCTGGCACTATTGCCGGCACACCCACGTGCGGCTTTCCAAAGTGGCAAGAACCTGATCGCTCGTGAATCAAGTGGAGATCATTAATTGACTTATATTTATCGTATATTATCATTCTTAACTTATACATATAGGATTCTATAATAATAATCTGTACAAATTGATTCAGTGTAAAGGATTTCTCCTTGTGCGCAATTTGTAAATTCAATTATAACATGATCATGGCTTAATTGTTAAATTCGACGAGAATAATAGTATCGTGATCTCGGCTTATTAGTCAAGATACAATTTAAGCCTGTGACACAAAAATATAGAATATTTATATACAATGTTAATTTAACAAGCCTTGATTTTTATTATTTTTATTTTCAAGGCAATTGCTGATGTTATTAGAACATGTCTGGGTCCACAAGCTATGTTGAAGATGTTGATGGATCCAATGGGTGGCATTGTAATGACAAACGATGGAAATGCGATCCTACGTGAGATCACTGTGCAACATCCTGCTGGAAAGTCCATGATAGAAATTGCCAGGACTCAGGATGAAGAGGTAGGAGACGGTACTACGTCAGTCATTGTCTTGTCGGGTGAGATCTTGGCCACTGCTGA